TCCTGGTTGCTAGAGGAGAGGTGGGCAGGGGGATGTGTTAAATAGGTGATGGGTATTTAGGAGGGTTGTGATGAGCACTGTATGTATGTTTAAGTGATGAATCACTAAATCCTACACCTGAAATTACTACTACACTGTATGTTAACTGACTGGAATTTAAATAAAAAACTTGGAAGTAAAAAAAAAAAAAAAAAATCCATTGCCAGATCCAATGTCATGAAGATTTATCCCAGTTTTTTTTTTTTTTTTTTTCCCTAAGAGTTTTGTGGTGTGGGCTTTTTAAATTTAGGTCAGTGATCCATTTTCAGTTAATTTTTATATGTGGTGAGAGGTATGGGTTCAACTTCTTTTTTTCTGTGTGGAAATACAGTTGTCCCAGCACATTTGTTGAAGGGACTGTTCTTCCCTCATTGACTGAGCTTGGCACCCTTGTCAGTGTCAGTTAGCTATAGATACATGGGTTTATTTCTGGACTCTCAATTTTGTTTCACTGGTTTATTCGTCTGCACTTCAGCCAGTACCACACTATTTTGATAACTATAGCTTTGGTGTAAGTTTTCAAATCAAAAGTGTGAGTCCTCCAACTTTGTTCTTTTTCAAGTCTGTTTTGGCTAAGTAGGACTGTTGCAATTTTATTTGCAAGAATTTGAAGATTGGCTTTTTGGGATTTTGATAGGGATTGCATTGAATCTATAGATCACTTTGTGTAGTCTCTTATAAGACTTAATAATTAATAATAAAAAAAGAATGCATTTGATAGGACTAATTGTCCATTTCTGCAGTGGTACCAAGAAGCATTTGGAGCAGAATACAGTCACATAGCTTTGAAATAATCCTTACCGATTTATGACTTTTCTTTCTTTCTTTCTTTCTTCCCTCCCTTCCCTTCCCCTCTCCTTCACTCTTTCTTTTAAATTTCTTACTTTTCTTGAAACCCTTAAGGATTATAGGTATATTTTTTAAGTTGCCCATGTTCTTATTTAATTTGTATCATTTATAAATTTTCTTAAATCATAATTTTAGAAACATTTAAGTTTCCAACTTTCAGCTGCTATTAGTAAGACTGAAGAAGTGTTTAAATTTGTGCCTCTGATCTTACAAAAAGTCCTTTGGAATTCCTTAATTTTTTTGTTGGGAACTTTTCAGTTCTGTGTTTTTCCCCTTAGAAGCTTTGCTAGGAGAATGCTATATCATTTTACATGGTTTGCTATAAGAGTAGGTATAGTAATTTCCATTTTTAGAAATTACTTCCTAGTGTATTCATCATTTTGAGGTTTTTGTGTACTATTTGTCATTTATTATGTTAGTACTTACTGTGCTAATGCTTTAAAGATGTCTAGATTTCATGTATGTCTTTTAACTAAAACATGAGAATCCCTTGTTGTTTAATGTCATATTAAATGGTGTATGCATTTGATCTGTTTTCACAAAGGATATTTCATTGTATAGAGTGGATCCTCTGATTACTGCTTTCTTGCACTCACATAAAACTAAAAGATGAAATGTCTTGTACTTTATTCTTACTGACTTTGTTTTGTGCTTTACTGTCTAAATATCTATGTCATTTGCATGCCTGCAGATTTCTCTCCATTTCTTTCCACTAAATTTTAAAGAACTGATCTCAATATCATCTAGGGTGGAGCTTATATGTTGCTATCTGGTGTCCTTTTTTAGCTCTATACTTATGTTTCAGAACTAAGTTTCTATTTATTTATTTATTTATTCATTCATTCATTCATTCATTCATTTCTGAGAGACAGAGATAAGCGTGAGTGGGGGAGGGGCAGAGAGAGAGGGAGACACAGAATCCGAAGCAGGTTCCAGGATGTGAGCTGTCAACACAGAGCCTGTTGCGGGGCCTGAACCCACAAACCGCGAGACTGCGAGATCATGACCTGAGCTGAAGTCGTACGCTTAACCGACTGAGCCACCCAGGCGCCTCTATTTTTATTTTTTTTAATGTGTATTTATTTTTGAGAGAAAGAGTGAGTGAAAGAGTGTGTGAATAGAGGAAGGGCAGAGAGAGAGAGATGGAGACACAGAATCTGAAGCAGGGTCTAGACTCTGAGCTGTCAGCACAGAGCTCAATGTGGGGCTCTATCCCACAAACCACGAGATCATGACCTGAGCCGAAGTCAGCCGTTCAACTGACTGAGCCACCCAGGCACCCCCAGAACTGGGTTTTTAAAACAGTGTGTAGAACACGGTCCAAGATTTTTTAAAAACTTAGTAAATAGTGATATTTATTTACTTTTGTTTACATATTTATTGTTTCAAAGTATCACAGAGGAAAAGCGAATGTATCTTGTGGACTTAATTTCTAGCTAGCATTTTTCAGTACTTTGTTCATCCTAACTTACAGCTTCTGGTCTGTAAGCAAAGAGTAAGTCATCTTTGCATTAGAGACAAGAGGTCTAGTTATTAGGCCTAGTATGTGCATTCATGACCTACTATTTGGCTCTTTTGAGGCTATTGTACTTCTAGGTTGTTGGCTGGGTTTGAAATCATAGATTGTTGGATGAATGAAATAATATATTCTCCTTTGCTAGAATGTGTTCTGTGTGCATTTGCCTTTTCTGCTGAGTGTATTCTGCTGAGTGTATTCAAGGAATTACCTGAGGGCGAGTGTTATTTTTCCTGCAGTTCACGTATTTGTGATGGTCAGTAGAACTTGAGTCTTCTGTGGCTGCAAAGGGAGTTTCATCAGATTCTGGTGTATCTCTTTTACCAAAAGACTCTTATGGAGATATTTTTGAATAGCACATTTTAGGGGATGCAAACTTTTCATCTCCAAAGTAATAGTGTTTGTGCAAATGAATATGTGATTGTTGTCCTACCATAAAATTCTGTTGAGCTAATGACTACTTTGTACAAGGATTTACACCTTTAATTCTGAAGTAGGGAGAGTTGTTTGTACAGAATTAGGCATAAAATAGTGACTACCATATTGTTTGTGTAAACATTACCCCTTTTGTTGCTGAAATTTGTAAGCAATTCTAACAGGTTTTTATTTTTATTGAGTATTATATACACGTTGCATGCATTCTAAACTTTTTTTTTTTTTACTATTTGAAATTTTAAAACAGGAAAATCATTCAATCATTATGTTTCTAAAACATTATTATTATGTTGTCCAGTGCTATAATTTAATAAAATAGAATAAAAATTAGAGTTACAATAGAGAACAAACTGACAGTTACCAGAGGGGGGGGTGGGTTGGGGGATGGAGGAAATGGATGATAGGGACCAAGGAGGGCACTTGTGATGAGTGCTGGGTGATATATGGAAGCAGTGAATCACTATATTGTATATCCGAAACTAATATGACACTGTATGTTAACTAGCTGGAATTTAAATAAAAACCTAAAAAAAAGAGTTACGTAGTTGTGAGTTTCTTTAGATTTTAATGTTATTTTATTTAGAAATACACCTTAAACATATAATATATATTTTTACCTAGTCATGTAACAGGATTAATTGGGTGAAGATGGCATAAAACCTGCTACATATTTTACTAACATGTTGATAATTTTTTCATTTGTAGTGTATTATTAAATTATAAAGTTCATTGTAAAAAAATTAAACTGCAATCAGGTAGTTCAGAAACCAGAAAGAAATTTTTGTGTGTACTGAAGATTTTATGTCATTTTAGTGGTATTTAATTGTAAACTAAGGTAAGAATATTTAAATATTTAGGTCATTTTAATTGCACGAGAAGTAATGTTCTGGATGGGTTTATTATATTTTCTTGCTAGTTTTTCCACTTTAAAAAAAGCACTCTAATATGAATGTCTGTGTATGTGTGCATGAATGTACATGTGAATATTTAAATAATTTTTTCATATATATGCCACATATAGTTCTGTTTTTGATTTTTTATGAAACAGGATTAGTTGCTTGATAAAAAAGTTCTTTGGAAGAATTTTTTTTTTCTCAAAGATAAGCTATTAAAAATGTTTATTAAAAATGTCGATTGGAGGGAGGGGAGAATTTTGTAGTAGTAAATGGGTAGGAGTAGATGGTATATTAGAACAAGTCAGGACTACCTAGCTTCACCAGGATTTTCTCCTCATGGTTCTAGTGTGAATATAGCTATGGCAGAATCACCTGCTGCAATGTTAAGGTGGGAGTTGTCACAGTAGGGCAAAAGTGCTATATCTGAGTTCTCTAGTGAAAAGTTTTCAGGAGAAATGGGCTTGTAATATGCACATCCACTTGAATTAAGGAAAAAATCTTAAGTTGAATACCTTGTCCTTACACTTATTTCGAATAAGTTGATTTGAAAATGTAGAAAAATTTAATATAGTTTTTAGGTAAAAGAAATGCTTAACTAAGTCAATTAAATTACAGAAGAAAATTTATATGCATTTTATACTTTGTATATTTTTATAGTTTGCCATTGATTCAGTTCCCATTAGAATGTTAGAATATTCTAAATTTTCACCTAGCTGGGAATAACTTGAAACAGCCTAACATACAGACATCTGGGTGGCTCAGTTGGTTAATTGTCCCACTCTTGGTTTCAGCTCAGGTCAGGATCCCACAGTTTGTGGGTTCAAGCCCCATGTTGGGCTCTGCACTGCCGCTGTTGGTGGAGAGCCTACTTGGGATTCTCTGTCTCCTCTCCCTGCCCCTCCCTGGCTCACGTACACACGATCTCTCTCTCTCTCTCTCTCTCTCTCTCTCTCTCTCTCTCTCTCAAAATAAATAAATGAACTTAAAAAAAAAGTAAAACAAGCTAATATAAAACACATTCATATGGTTTTCTGTTACTTACATTATTAATCTGGAAACATGATATTGGAATTTTTCAGAAAAATATATGTCTGAAATTTAAGAATTTGAATGGTTCCTGTTATTCTGTATAAATAATGGCAAAAGAGTTTCCCTTTCTCAGTGGTTGTTTTTGTTTTTATTATTTTATTTTATTTTTATTTATTTGGAGAGTTGGCCTAAATTTTCAATTTATATTTCATAAATCTTTTTTTTTTTCTTCTTAGTTTTGGCAAGCGTTCTGCAGGAAGCTTTAGGCGTGGCTGTGAATGCATTGTTTTAGAGCCTTCTGAAATGATTGTGGTAAGAATACTTCTGTGAAGACTTTTTTTCCCTAAAAAAATTATAAAAATAAAAACACTTTTGCACAGTACTTATAATCATGTATTATAGATTTTATAACTTTAGATATATTTATTCCATAATTTTTATTATGAATCTGAGTTCATAGTCATAATATTGTAATTATTTATAAGATTCAATGAAATGAAAAAGATAGAAGACTCAAAAGGGGCAAGTACCTAAATGTTTTGTGCTTGAACTTTTGTTAAATCAATCTGTGATAATGCCATTTTACTTAAATTTGGGAATGATCTTTGAATTACAGGATTTTAGCTCTCTATTAATTGGAATGAGTAAGATACTTCAAATGAATCATAGTAATATGTATTCAGGCAACAGTTAGGATAAAAGGAAACCAATTCCTGTTTTTTATACATGTCTTGCAGTCTATATGTATATATTTTAAACTTTATTTTTTGAGAGAGAGTGCATGAGCAGAAGAGAGGGGTGGAGAGAGACAGAGAGAGAGAGAGAGAGAGAGAGAAAGAATCTTAAGGAGGCTCCACCCCTGTGTGGAGTCTGATGTGGGGCTTGATCTCACGATGGTGCGATCATGACCTGAGCCAAAATCAAGAGTCAGATACTTAACCAACTGAGCCATCCAGGTATCCTGGTCAATATATTTTTTAAATCCTGCAATTCAGTTAAAAAGAGAAATAAAGACCTCAACAGAGCGTTTAACCAGCGTACTAGTCCCCCAGTTTTCTGGCCTAATATAGAAGATGATGGAAGCTTTTTATTCACATTTAATAAAGTATTTGGTAGAAGGCCGTAAGTCTATTTTCAGAGAAGATTTGGGATTTTCCCCTATGATGTAGGAGAGGAATTCATCAGAATGAAAACTTCCTTGTCCAAGGGAGTGAAAATCTTTGGTAAAATTTCACAAAATTTACTCTTAAGTAAGAAAGTAACATGGTGGTAAGTAAAGATTTAGGATTAGAAAATGTGGGTAGTTACATAGGACTTTCCAGCAACAGGTCTTGGAAAGCATTTTAGGTATTTCCTAGAGATTTTGGCCTCTGTAAGTGCTATTTTGTGTTTCTCTGTGGGACTTTTGATATTTAAAATCCTATACTTGCCGATATTATACAAACTACTGGGTTTGCTAGTGGGAGAATAGTCTTAGAATCGTGCTATGCCTTGATTGTGAGCAATCACATTTTCATTATATAAGTATGAGGAGGATTGACCTAAAGTAACTTTTATTCTGGTTGGTCCATTCATCAGTTTCTAAAATGTTGAAAATGAGGAATTTTTTTTTTTAAATAACACTATTTATAAAAAAAAGAAACTGAATTCACAGATTGAAAGTAGGAAGAGAAACCCTAGTAACCTACCAAAGCCGTTCTGCTAGCAGTCCAGCTTGAGTCATTTGGGATTTGGGGGTTTTTACAGATTTACTCATATACACCAGAGTTAAGACAATGGGGCCGTTGCTTTCATAATGCGAGGTAATGTATCCTGTGAGTTCTTTCACTAATAAATCACTACAAAGATTACTGAAAATATCCTTCCCTTTAAACTGCAGGAAATTCAAGAGTTACTCATATTGCCCTAAGTGGAACTGAAAATGCTTCTTCATAAAAGAAAAGTTACTCAAAACCAATTAGTTCCAGAGAAGTTCAAAAACGCTTAGTCTGTAAAGATAGTTTGTCTACAAATGTCTTTGCAAAATGAATGAATATGGACTTATCTGTAAGTTTTATTCTGTGTCTAATCTTAATATGGAATGTTGTATTTGAGGAAATAAATTTTTGTTTTGTTTTTTTTTTTTCAGGTGGACTATATGGATGAAAATGAAGAGTATTTTCAGCGTCAAGCTTCTCATCGACAATCTCGAAGGAGATTTAGAAAAATCAACCAGAAAGGTGAAAGACAAACAATTATTGACACTGTGGATCCTTATCCTGTGGGCAAACCACCTTTGCCTCGAGGCTATCATACGGTAAGTTATTAAAGTATAATATTTTTATTTATCTTTAGTTTTTTTGTTTGGAATTTTGTGAAAAGACATTTGCATTTTCTACTTTAGAGGAATAATTCCTTTCTGTGATATACCTATCCAAAGTGTAGGTTTTGCTAGGAACACATAGAGTATGAAGAGTTTTAAGGAGCATTGAAATAAGAAATCAAAAGATATTGGCTAGTTAGCTTTTTTACTTATTAAAACGTTCTCTGAGGTTAGCTTTGTGATCAGCTATACAGTTGTAACTGGAATATTTTAAGTTCTTACCTTCATCTAAAATTTTACCCCCGCTCCCAGCCCCAATAACTGGTATCAGACTTATTTTTTTTAAAGGTAGATATATAAAAATTAAATGTTATTTTCATAGCTTTGCACACCACTGTGAGAATATTTCCTGAGATTTATTTGTTTTTAATATGATGAAGTGAAAGCATAATTTGAAGGGATGCTTTTAAAAATCCCAATGTAAAGATGGTCTCAAGTACTTCTGATAGTTTCAAAGATCATTTTAAATGCTGCAGCCCACTTGATCGTCATTTATTTCATAATTATTTGAGAAGCTATTTTTATGTTTGAGGAAACCAAGGCACAGATAATGAGTGATTGTGTAAGACCCCAGTATGTTCAGTTTTAAAACTTTATGTTTCTTATTCCTTTCTTTCTGCTTAACTACTCTATGCTTCTTTCCCCGATGGCCAATCCAAAATAGTTGAGAAGATATTTTAGGATTTCTATTTTCAAAAAGAAAGTAACATGAGTTCTTACATATGTCATAATAAAGTCAAAAATGGTTTGTCTGTAGATATAATAACATTACATGGTAGTCATTATATGTGAAATTTTAAAATAAAAATGTAACATAAAAATAGATAATTGACAACTGTTTTGCATTTCTCATTTGTTTTGTTTACTTGCACTTTTTTTCTTTTTGCAAATAAGTATAAGTACAAAATACATGGGAAAATAAATATAGACTTAAAATTATATACTTAATTTTTAGTAACTTTTAGTGATAGGATATACTTTATACCTGCACTTCATATGTTTTATTTCTGAGAGCTCTTTGTGTGTGGATTTTTAAGCAGTTTTGACCACCAGCTACCCGCCTACTCCTCTCACTACCCATGCACTATTTTAATTTAACATGAATTTTATAGTTGAATCATTTCATTGAGCTCATGTGGAAAGGGTAGCTTTTTGCACATCATAAAGAGAGCTTTGTTTGTCCTTTGGAGAGATTTGGTGTTAAAAAAAAAAACCCATGAAAGGTTTTTTTGTTACCATTGTCTGTAAAAGAAGGTAGTATTTTTAGTGTTGATACAGGATCATGGAAGAAGGAAATTTGGATTAAAAATAGTTGTACATATTAATAGTTCCATATATTATAATATTTTAGTCTAGTACTAATATTGTTAATATTCTTTCTGCTTTGGAATTATTTTTCCAAATGAGATTCCATACTAAGATAGTGGGAGTGTGAATTACTTAAAATCTATTGTTAATGCTGATTGGTTTAATTTTATAGTCCTATTTTCACACTTGAGTTGGGGGGATCATTTTATAACTGCTATTCTCTTTTATTTCCGTGTATTCCCCCTTTATGGAATACTTCACTCAATTTCCCTGCACGACTTCCCTTTTTTGATCTGTTGTATAAAAATGTGTGGGGCTTTTTATTATTACACGATTACTTTTTTTTTTAATTTAATGGTTTTAAAAAAATACCGTACCTGGTCAACAGATACTTTTATGAGGGCAAAGTCAGTACTATGACGAAAGTTTAACTTGATTACTAATGGATCATGTGCTAGCTTACTAATTTGTGATATGTTGGTATTAATTTTACTAAATGAGTTCAGATTGGCAACAACATGGTCATAATGGAAAATATTGGATACTTATTTTGTGTGCAAGTTGTGTTTTAATTATATTTATATAATATTTATATTTTCATCTCAATACTTGATTTTAACCTATGAAAACAACAAAATCTTGTTTGTATATATGGTGCCACAGGATAAAAAGAATGAAATGAAAGTTATTATTCTTCATTAGCCATAAGTCATATTTACTTATTCTTAACAGAAATATTTCTTTTTGAAAGAATCCTAGTATTGTGGGACTGTGGGTGAAAAGTTTCTTTAGAAGATGCATGATCATACTTCACAGGTGATTTTAAATGATTTCAAATGCATTTCCAGTTGCATGGCTAAAAAACATGGAGAACATTATACATATAGCCGATTCTGTATGGTCATACTTAACCTATATTTAACATTATCTTCGTTTTGGCAGATGTACTATAGCATGTCTGATAATGTTCATCTTTTCCTTTCCTCCTTTATGGCACTCATTTCATTTTGGCTCAAAGGAATGCACTAAATCTCAGGTATTGTAATTTGTGTGTGGTCTCCTAATACTAACCCAAGTTTTTTGTGAGTTTGCATTGTAACTAATGAGTTTATAACATTGATGTGTTTGGCTTGGTCTTGTTCTTTTGTATTTTGCCCCGATTTAGTAAAATCTCTTAAAACGAAAGTGTCGCTGGTTTAGGTGATGGTACAGGCTGCTTTATTTGTGCACATGTAGGGATGAACTGTCCACCTTGTCCATCTTAGGTCCACTTAAGTGCCACCTAATTACTTTTAAGAATGAGTGGAAACAGTGTTCTTAACTAACATGATTTGCAAGGAAAGAAATGAAGAGAGAAAGACAGGTATGGGAACTCCATTAGCAACTTACCTTTATATTTTAAGTGATGTAGGTGGAAACTTTAAATCTCAGGAATCCCAATGTAAGAGTGTTGTGGGAGACCACTGGTAAAATTTTGGTCAAACAGAATAAAGGCTTAGTCAAAAAGGAAATGAGAATTTAAAATGGCTTGTGTTTTCTTATTTGCACTTTATATTTAACCAGATTTCATGCTTTATTTCATTCTATATTTTAATCAAGAGGCCTATATTAATATCTTTGCTCATTTCTTTCATGCCGGCACATGACTAATTTATGATTGTTAGTGTTACTGTTTTGAAATTGTGGGTCAGATTGGGGGTTATCAGAGAATTTGGAGTCAAGGAAGAAAAACTGATTTACCTCTGGACACTAATTGGTTAAGGAACTAGTAAAATTTTACAATTGTGTTTTCTTACTGCACAGGAAAAAGATCATGAATAATTTAATTCACATTAGAAGAAGTCTACTGTCAATATAATATCTTTGGCGATTACAGTAACCTTGCTTGAAGGCATGAAATATTTGTATAGGTTTTCAAATTAAAATGAGGCAGTAACTTTATGTTCTGTGCAAGAGAATACATATTAAAATGCCACAGGTGTCATGACTGCTATATGGTACTTTAGAAACACTGCTAAATTTTAAATGATATGGTAAATCTTAAACATTTTCATTGTTTTTAAATTTAATAAAATTTTGATCTAATTATATAAATTTTTTAAATTGTGCCAGCATTTTGAGCTTTTGTCTGGCAAAAGTATACTTTAAAATCTAGAACTTTAATATTTCAAAAGATGCATCAGTATATAATTAATCTTTCTCTTTTTTAATATGAAAAATTACTGTTTAGTCTAATTCCCATTTAGAACTAAGAATCGAATTTAAAATGTACGCTGAGTTACGATCTATAACTGATGTATACTCTTTAAAGTTAGATGTGTTGTAATGGTTTAAAACAGATTGTAATAATTTCCTTCAGAAACATGAGTACACAAGTAGTCCATATAGGGTGTTTTCAAGACATTTTTTCAAGGCAGGTGTGTGAGGTTTGCAGAGAGAATAAGCATTTTAAAATTCAGTGAGAAGGGAATATTGGAGATGGCTTTCATTAGAATTTTCTTACATTTCGATGAGTTGAGGTTGAGGCTGTATTTAAGATTGCCAGAAAACAGGATGTGGTATGAATTTTCAGTCTTAGAATGGATAAAATAATAGGCAGGGAGTAGATAAGGTTCTTGGCAGAGGCTAGAAGATTTAGGGTCAGCCTCTTTAGAGACTTTGGTCAAGTTTGTTTTGTCTTTCGGTTCAGAACACAGTAGAGGAAAAAAGCTTTGTTTATTTTACCCATAATTACAGGCCCTGCCTGTCTACATTTACAGGTAATTGATTCTAAGAGTTTGTGATTTATTTATTCGAGAAGATATTTAAGGGGAGGACTTAACTTACCTGACTGGCGTGTTGGGGAGACTGGTACATGCCTGTTCTGCCCTCTGTTTCTTTTATCTTAATGAAAAGAGAGCTATGCCGCCTTCTTAGTTTAGAAAGATTAAAAATTGTACAGAGAGAGTAGACTGAAGATTGAAGAAAACTTGTCCTCTCTACACCATGGCGGTTACGTCTAGCAACAGACATTTCAGCCTCGGATGGCTGAAAGAACTAAGATGCTCTCTGTGCTTTGCAGTTCTGATTGACTTTCCACTCCCACTCCTACTTACCCCAAAAAGAATGGGTCTGTTTTCTACAAATTTGAAATGGGAGGATAACATAAAACATATTCATAAAGTTTCAATCAATGCAAAATTTTTGAAACAATGGAAACCTGTTGATCATATAAAAAGATACCTCCCCACACATTTTACTAGTAGTCCTTGTCTACAATATGAATATACACTTCAGAGCACTGTTTAGTAATTATGTAGTAAATTTTTCAGTAGATTACGCTTAGTTTAAGATTCTTGGTCAGATGTATAAAGGTAATAAAAAATACTGCATAAAATTATTAAGTTAATATAAATTGAATACCATGTAACATTACAACATAATGGGAATAATTTTTTTGTTAATATAGTATCTATAAAATGGCACCAGTTGTAATAAGATTGATTCATGCATGAGGCTTATGGAAATGAGTCCCCTTTTTTTATAAAGTTATTCTTTATAACAATATAAGACAATTTCTATTTCTTATAATGGTTATGTAATCATTCCTAGGTTATATCTTCTATATCTCTGAAGTAGGTTTTTTTTTTAAGAGATAGATTTAAGTTAGTATCATTTTCAATTAAGGACTTCTTGGTAAGTTTGGTTAGTTTCAAAAATGGTTAGATATTGAAACAAATGAAAAATTACAGTGTTTGCGTGATTATGCACACTTACGTGACAATAGTGTTTTTGACATGGGCTATTGTTCTTGCATTAGAAATAGTATTTTCACTCATGTTAACGATTTTGCTTTTTCACTTATTTATTTAATTTTTTACTGAGGTCTTTTTAATTTAATCCAACATTTCCTACTTAATAGTAAGAGAATATATCTTCACTAATATATCAGTGACTTGTAGATTTACTAAATTTCCTAGAATATTAAGGTCTTAGGATTTTAACTTATAACAATCAGTTCACATCATATTATACCTGACTATAATTTATTCATATGACATTTAAAAAATCTACGCTTATATACAAAATATTCAAATATGGGGGAAATTTCTTAATTATTTCAACATTTTCATTCTTTAAATTCATTAGGCATTTCTTTGCTATAGCCTTTGTATTCAATAATATCATCAGTGCCTTTCTGTGAATTATAATAGGATGGAGTTTCAGAAAATGTGTATATTTTCTTTCTTGTATCATAGAGAGGAAAGCTCAGTATTTTCATTTACATATTTTTATTAATTTAATGAATATTTATTGTGTGCCCACCTTGTTTCAGGTTTGTGCCAGTCTCTAGGACTATATACGTCTACAGGACAGACATATTTTGCTTCTTTTTAGTTTCATAGGTAATATAGACAAATAAGTGGGCAACTAAAATACAGAGAATTCTTAGTACTGTGGAGGTACATAGACAGGGCACTTTGAAGAATCAGGCATGTTTTTTTGAAAAGCCTTAATATCTTGGCTCAAAGGAAAATATTCTTTAATCCAGGAAAGCCCAATAGAAATGTGAAAGCTGAATTGGTAAAGAATGGAAAAGAGAGGGGTAGGGAGAGTGTTAGACAGTAGTGATATGTGTGTGTGCGCGCAAGCGCACAAACCTCTACAGATTGCTAGATCTTGGTTATTGTATGCATGTATGATGATTTATATTTGCATCAGAGTTTTAAAGTGTCAAAAATATTCTTTGCTTTTTGAACCTATTATCAGCAGGCTTACTGATTCCTCTTCACCTAGATCATGTTGCATTTTAAGATCCTGCAGAAAGCTCCCTGTGGAAAGGTCTTTGAACAATAGGTGGACGTAACAATTCTGTGCCATATGTGCTGCAATTTCTAACAAAATGCAGTGTGTTAAAACTGCTGCAGTGGTCTCAGTTTCCTTGCTTTGGGGGGACTATTTCCCTTTCTTGCAGTTACAATCAGGTATTTATGTTCATTTAATTTATACAGATTGGGAAATTATACTATAGAGTGTGTATAGAAATGGAAATGTAAATCAGGAAATAGTTTAAAACAAGAAATGATTTCTCTTGTGCTATTAACAGCATGCATTGCAAATTCATGCAAGGCAGTTGAGAATAGTGTGCAGTGTGCTGTTTACCCAAGTTTCAGCTTCTGTTAGAGGATGTCTATTTTTATATATTACATCATCTCTGCTGCAGAACTCCCGTGTCCACTGGGATTTACTGTTCTTTCATTCCATTTTGAAAGAAAGCTTGTGTTGATGTCATAATTGGACCCATCTTTTGGTTGCACTTGGAAATTGAAAGTAATAAGGGTGTTGTGCAGCAAATCATGCAATATTTCAAGCAATTTATTTGTCAGATCATTGCTACTTTGTCCTGCCTCTAATTGTGAACACTGGTGGCTTTCTGTACTTGTATATGTTTTAAATATACTTGGCTAAAATTTAGCTTTTAGTCTCAACTGCAAAGATCCTGTTCATCTTAGACTGTTTCATTTCTTATGTGCTTTTTTTTTTTTTCATGAGATTTTGTAGTGCTACATGCTGATTTGAAAAATGTCTCTTTTCTTTGGAGAAATCTACTTTGATATTCAGACCTATTTCCTACCTGTGCTGAATTGATCTTTTTACAATTAAGTTATCAGTAAGTTGTCTGTTTCACTGTTTGAAATATCAGGTGACTAGAAATGTTCTCTTTTGATTTTGAATCCAGTGTTAAAACATTATTAACTTGAAATGCCTTTCTATTGGCCAGAAGATATTGTTGACCTCTGGAAGAGGTTTGTATTCAGTGTATAGATGTAAGGTTGAAGTCCCTTGTGAAAGGAAATATTTAAACTAATTATATTAAATGATTTAAAATGCCTACTATGTTATACATATTTATGTATGTAAAATCTCCCCCTATTCTCTCAAAAATTTAGTAATCCAGATCTCAATAGTAAACCATTTTTCCCTTTGCTAAAAAAAAGAAAAAAAATTGATTAGGAGCAAACTTACACTTTTAAAAAATAACAGCTTTATTGAGTT